CGGTTTGGGCTCTCAGAGTGAAGTATCCAAGTCCGGTGTGGAGTCGACAGATATCTCGGCTGGGCTTCCACTTATTGTCCGGCCTGTTTGCATCTTCAGTCGGGGTTTGCAGGAAGGGGTGCCCAGGTGCGGTGTGGAGTCGATGGCCATCTCGGCCTGGCTCCTTTCTTTGTTTAGCTTAACTGTTCGTGTCCTGCTTTTTCTTTCAGGCTGATGAACGTCGCCTAGGGTCGTTACCGCCTGAATGGGTAGTTACTGCTGGGTTTGGGGAAATTCTTCGGCCACACTATATTTTATATACTTTTTACATTGTTACAAATCTAGTTATATACTTATTTATTCTTTCACGAATTTTTATCCAAGGTTACATTTATCACAAACCTAAATAATAAAATAAGCTAAATAATAATTAAAAACCTTCAAAAATTAAAAACTGCATCTAACAAAAGCCATCTAAATAAATTAACATGCCAGACTCCAGCAGCCAAGCTGGCTGGCCCTAGCCAATCTGAAGCTCTGTATACAAGAAACAAAAATAAAATCCCAATAATACAGATTAAAAGTCTATTAAAAAAAGAGATTTCATTTCATTCTACCTCAAATACAAACAAGCCTCTCCATGATGTTATCTTGACTCAAAAAACCAATTACACATAGGAAATCATGCCAAAAAATAAAACAGCATGTTCTATACTGTTAGAGAAGATGAAACAGGGAAACCTTATAAATATGATTGTTTAGCAAAAGATTCTGAAAAATATGAAACCTATAATCAAAACAGAAATGAAAACTAGCTTTGACCTATAGGATACTGAGCGCTAGTCACTATATAACCAAAGAACAGCCTAGCCAGCTGAAGGAGAATCCCTGTTGATTGAACAATACCCTTCTGCTGACAGTGAATCCAAAGGTCGAAGCAGCAAGAGAAGAATTTAAAGAATAGCTTTTAGAGTTTAAAATGTAACACTTTATGTAGTGTACTAGTTCTTATAGGCTATATGTAAATTCTATAGAATGTGTGTCACGTACTGGTTAGTTACTGGGAATGAGAAGATTCACCATAGAAAAAGATGTAATGTATTGTAACAAGAACTTCGCTCTCTTAATCTTTCTTAATTTCCCCCCTTGCCCTTCTCTCTCTACCCCCATAATTACCTACCGCTCTCATGCTCTTGACCTCCTCTTTCCACTCTCTCTCTCTCCCCCTTTGAGCACATTTACACTCTGGCTGGCAGCGTAAACGGATCTCTTCCACCACATAATAAACTGCTTATCCCAAGAGCAGCCTGGCTCAGAGAAGTCTCCCCCATGAGCCCATTATACTCCTACACTATACATGCATCTACAGACAGCCAGGAGCGAGGTTCATCCCTGAGAACTAGTACACCAATATCCTCAGACATTCCAACTTCCATGGAGACTTTGCAGGAACCTCCCATTCCGTTCCCCAGTACAGCAGCAAGACAAAGTCCTCTCCCAGCCTGTCTTCATCAAATCGTGCACCAAGTTTAAACGAGCCTCGAGCTCCCAGGGGCACCATCTGCCCAAAAAGCCCAAGCCTCCACCCACAAGATGCGGGAGAAAGGCTCAGGCAGCTCAGCCGACTGTTCTGCCCCGATGCTTCTGTGTTTCCCTCCATTTCTCTCGGGTGGGAGCTGGAGGAGGCGGCAGAGGAGCAAGAAGCCCAGCCCACTTGGCTTCTTGTGTGTGTGTCAGTGAGACAGGGCTGGGACAGATTTGTGCTGGAGCTGCTGCCCTTTGGAGCCATTTCAGAGGTATGATCCTAAAACATTTTGGAGGCTATTTCCCAAATTCTGTTTGGAGCTGGATCTCACTGGAAAGCCCAGTCCAGCAGCCTGATACCTCAGCTGGAGGGACTCTCAATAGTGATGAAGGGGCACTGCAGGACCCACCCAGCAGCAAGGGGACACTTGAAACCCTCGCCTGAAACTTCGCTGCAATTGGGATCACCAGCACCAGGAGCTGCACGTTACTCCCTGATGCGCTGAGGTCTGAGCAGCACGGCTGACTTAGAGATGAATCCTGGACACGGTATGACTGACACCATCAGTACTATTCAGCTAAAAATAGATGACAAAAGACAAATGTAATGAAATTACAGGGGTCTCACAGAAGAAGGGAAGGAGGAAAGAATACACCTGGTGAGCTCGAAAGCAGAAATACTGTATCAGTTTGCACCAACATCTTGATTTTTACACTTAGGCTTTTTCTTCGCATTTGATTTCATCCACAACAGTTCTCTAAGAAATAATGTTATTAAATGTCTGTTTCTATTGGTACACTGTGAGAATCTGGTGTTGTGGTACGTGTGGTTCTGGCCCCACTTGTGGAGATGTAAAATGAGCCCTTGAACTCCTCTGGACCCATAATGGGCAATGAGTGTCAGACGCTCCCTGTGGATAAAATGCTGTTCTGTAGATCTGCAGTGGTGCTGAGTTTTGCAACCACTTTGAAGAGTTTGATGAACTCCTGGGTACAGGGCTGTGGTGGTGGTGCTGCCATCTTGCATGTCTTTCCTTTGTGGACACAAAGCAGTGGAGAAGCAAGGCCCTGAAGCAACCAGGACCCTCTCCTGAGAGGGCCACCAGCTCTGCCCCCATTCCAGCAGCAGTGCTGAACACACCCACCCTCCTCTCCCAGCCCTGGCCAGTGCTGCAGCAGGCAGAGCAGGGAGCTGCCTTGGGAAAATGGAATCTTGGCCCTGCTCCACCAGGTACCAACCTCCTTCTCCGCTAGGCAATGTGCCTTCACATGAAAGGTGAGTCCCCAAAGGATGGGCCTTGCAGGCTCTTGCCTTGGAGTGGGAGCAGCACCACCCCCACCTCCACACCCACACCCCCCTCTTTTATTTTGGTGGCAGCTTGGTTCCTCCCTAGCTAGAGACTGGTGCTCCCAGCACGAGCACTCCTGGTGACATGGCCAGGTCCCCCAACCCTGGAGTTAAAAAATGACCACAGACCCACAGAGAGAACCATGGACAGGTAAGAAAGATAGGCTCCAGCAGGTGAGGCTGGTTTCAACAGCCACATCCTGGGCATTGCTTTGCTGCCTCCCATCATCCAGCTCTGCAGCCAAGAGGCCCCTGTGGGCTGTAGCAACCCACTTGGTGCACGTGGGACTGTAGATGTTAAATGCAAAAGATCAGGCAGGTAGCATAGTATCTGTGTGAAACTAAGTCACATAACTTTCCCACATTGGCCCAAGAAAGCGTGGCCTGAGAAACCTTTGCTGGTGCTGTTTGCCTCCTCGTTGCTTACTTGCAAGAAACAGTCGAGGGGCACTGTTCCTAACTGTCCAATGACGGTGATGTGTTGGTTTGATGGCCAATGAAAGTTTACCCCATCGGACCCTTTCGGAACTGTCTATAAAAAAGGATCTTGAAGAATAAAACACGCTCTCTTTTGCAAATAAGCTTTAGAGTCTGTGTTGTCACCATCACCATTGCTAATAAAGTGCGACATGGGACCACTCAATGAAGGCAACCAGAGCAGGACATACTGGGGACCCAGGTGCAGCAGCCACATAGAAATGCTGTGAGGTCCAGAGACACTGGAGTGTACAGCTACCCCATGTCACACCCATGTTGGAAGGGGAGCAGGAGCTGAGAGTACAGGACTGGGTCATACTTTGTTCCAAGGCAAATAATTCCCCATCATTTTTCCTTATTATTTTGAACTCTAACAGTGTTGAAACCTTTGTGTTTCTCTGTGCTTAATATACAATTTTCCAGTGAGTAGGCTGCTCACAGTTTTTCTCTGTTTCACCACAGAATCGGTTGTAAGTTGTTTTTGGATCAAATCCCAAGATCTCCCGTTCCTCATGGATTCGAAAGGAAAATGTTGAAACAGAGGTGCCTATAAAATACCTGTGAAAAAAAAATCAAAAAGGGTTTGGGGGGGCAAGTTTTTAAAATGCAAGCAATTAGATTTCAGTCCAATAAACTTCACTGTTCAGTGAAATGATATGATAATGAAATCATCATATACACACACAATATAACCATTATACATCTACTAGACATATCTCAATTATATAATTGATTATGTAAGAGATAATATATATAATATATAACCAATTATATAATGTCTCACACAATTTGTAAACAACCATGGGCCAAAAATCATACTCAGTTTTGTGACAGTGACATTAAGCTTTGGCTGAAATTAAAGTCAGATTTGCTACCTTGCATGTGCACAAATCCACTGGTCAATCACAGCCAAGCCCCCATCCTTATAGAGTTCCAGCTCCTCCAGAGAGGCTTCAACCCTCACCATCTCGGGCAGCAGTTTCTTGAGCAGTTCAATCTCTTAAAAAAGGAAGCATACAAATTTATCTCTACGTTATGAAGAGCAACTCGCTCCTGCCACTCAATGTGTTTGTTTAAGGGAACCCTGGGTGAACAGTTACAGAGCATGTGACACCAAAATCTACCAACAAATTTTAGAATGCAGCTACTAAAATTTATAGTATTGCAGCCAGGGAGGGGAGCCAGTGGCAATTGCTGCACTCATTGTCAAAAGTTACCAATCCTGAAATGACTGCGATCCGCCTACCTTCCTCAACAGCATCAGTGGCTACAAAAACTTTTTCAAGTTTAAGCCTCTCCAATAGGCTGTGGATTTTCTTTACTGCTCCTTGCAGGGAAGGCACGTCTTCTCTGTGACCCCAAATGAAGTCTCTCCTTCTGAGGTGAACCCCAAGGTATGGGCCACCTAGAGCTGTGCCAGTCTTAACCTATGAGGGAAAGATCAAAAGTCTTAAAGGACTTGGGAGGATCACTGTTCACACTGAAAAGCCAGAATGCATGGATAAGGCACAGAATGACTCCAGTTGCAGACAGAAATTTTTAAGTACGGTCTGGAAGTAACTTGGGACACTTGTTGCAACATTTAGATCTTGGGTGGCCTCCACCATGCAAGAGAAACTGGAGTGCCAAATCTTCCTAAGCACAAATTTCTCTCCTTGACCAAATCAATCCTCAACTAGCAGTAGGCAGCTGAACTTTACATCCACACGTGGTGCTGAATACAAGAAGAAATTCAAGTTTCCCTCACTGAAATGAGGACAACAAAGATCTGGCCATCAGAACCAGTCAGGCACACCTCGGCAGACTCTGTTAGCTCATGTCACGCAGGGAGAAGGTCCATGAGGAACACACGTGTCCACCTCAACACGAGCAAAAGAGTCACTCACATGTACCTTCCAACATGCCCTGCAGCACACAGCCAGGAGTACACAAATGAAGTATTTGTTATGGGGAATAAATACACTGTTAAGGACTTTACCTTCATCTGTGTCCAGTCCTCCTTGTACTGAGTCCTGTCTACCTCGTCGGTGGATTGAAGGTATTTCTTCCTAAACTCATCTCCTACTATGCGGAGGTGTTTAGCAAACACCATGCTCCGACGGGTCTGTCGGAATAGGAGCAGAGTCAGAGTCAGAAAAAGGAGCTAAAAATGAGTTGGTGCAGACAGTTTCACACACACAGCAGTTCCAGGATGCAGTTACTTCTGGTACATCTATGCAGTACTCTAAGCAATGATTTCTAAACATTTATCCAAGCTTAAACAGCTTATTCCTAATTATCACCGCCTTTATAACCAGCATACTCACCTGTCCCTGCAATACACAGGTATAAGGAGGACACTGCAGTTATTTACACAACAGAACATATAATATACCAAATTAAATACCCTAGCAATATACCTTACTTTTGGAAACAAACACTGGGCAAACACTTCAGCATGCAAAACACCTGTAAGAATAAAACCTGCTTTAAATATATTAGGCATCTAGCCACAGACATGCCTGAAATGAAATTCAGTGGAAAAGTGACAAAAAAGGAATTACTTCCTTAACCTGTCAATAATAAGCTCTAAGATTCCGTGATAAAGCTGCCAGTGCACACAGCCACAAGCGGCCATTTTACTAACAGGCAAAAAAACAAAGGAAATCCCAATTTCTCCCTCTTTGTCTGCAAAGAAATAGAGAAAGGAGAGATGCTTCTCAGAGGAGCATGGAAAAAAGAGAAGAGGCCCTGGGCCTAAGCTGCAGTGAGTAAATTTCTGATTGGACATCAGACAAAACCACTGCGGCCACGTTTAAAGTGCCACTGCTAGGAAATGTGTGTTATGGGGCCATGTGGATTTCATGTCTGCTTTTACAGGACAAGTCGTACTCAAACATGGTACCTGAGCTGCATTTCTTTCTTTGAGAGGTCACTCTCAATGAACAATTCATAGCTAGTAAACTACTGTTTGGTCCACTTCTGAAAACATCCCATGTCCCAAGTGAAGAGCCAGATGCTTCTAAGACTGAGGTCTGTGTAATTTGTTTTTTAATATCATGGGAATCAGTTTCTCTTAGGAATTTTAACTATATCAACCACTCCATACCATGTTCCATTCTCCTGTGTATGGACCTTAACATTTCCTTAAAACTTTTATGACAGAAATTATTTTACCACAGACCTTTGCCTGAAACCCATGGGAATTTCGCCTTTAAAGCAAATGGGGAGGGATTTGGGACAATAACGAGCACTTCACAGGATTCTTTTGAAAAGACTAATCTTGAGGTTGACTACATAAGAAACTTCTGCCTTCTGTTTGTAGAGGTGTTGTATAGGGGAGGTCCTTTTAATCACCACGCCCTGCAGCACTGGGCCTTTAGGCACAAGACAGCAGGACAAATTCCTGTGTCACACTAATCCACAGCAGCCTGAAAACCATGCTAGTACACATTGCTGAAACAGAAGACAAAAGTTACTTACAAGACAAAAATCCCAAGGCAAAACTGAAGCACACATTGGTTACTAATTTTTTTAGCAGAGCCAAGTAAAGTCTTGAGAAGCTATCTGTAAAATACTCACATTCCAATAATCTTTCCCTCCGTAGTGGTCATGAAGAAGGTTTTCAGCTCTGTCTAACATCACTGACCTATTGAAAATTGTAAAACTGAGTGCAGTTCCCTTAGGAATAGAATTGACATTATGATGTTTCTTTATACATTTGCTAGAATAAAGTGCAGACTATGATCTGTTTGCAAAGGGTGAGTGGGGAATGAGGGACAGGCTCCTGTGAGGCACATTCTAGCTCTCTACAAGGCAAATTGTGACCCACAGTCTGCTAGGGAGAGAAGGGAACCATGCCACTCCCTGTGCCTGCTCTCTTCCTGAATAAATGGTATCCTGACTATGAAAGTTAAACATGAACAAGCATGAATCACCCCTCACGGTCCTTGCAAGAGTTGCTTCAGGAGAAATAAGATTTCTGACAGGGAGAGTGATCCAAAGGGAAGAAGTGACTTGGGTGATGCTCAGCCTCAGAGCACATGACAGCCTCTGGGAGGAAGCAGATCATGGACACAAACCCATAGAAAGTGTTTTCTACATGTAGAATAAAATGTCATACAGTAAAACAACAGAGAAGAACACAGAGACATTACCAAAATGTGTGGTATTAGACAGTAGCTTGTGTTTCTCATAGATAAACATGGTTCAGGATTGCGTACTGGAAACGTAACTGCACTATCCAAGTTCTAAGAAGCAGACGAGATTTTGAGATTTTCAAGTATCCCAGAACATAAGAGATGTAGATTTAGTTTGTGAGCACACTGATGATAAGCCAACACACAGAGAAATGCTTCTGCTCAAAAGGATCAAGGTCATTATCTGCACCTCCTACAAAAAAGAGAGGAAGCAAATAACCAATCAACTTTGGATTATCTCTGCTGATAATCAGCTGGACACCTGCATGGAAGGCTTTAAATTACCTGGAAAAAAGACCAGACTCTGTTGGTGAAGAAGCAGCACTGCATCTAACAGGAAGATTGGAGGGGAATGAGGTTACTAATCCAAATGCAGTGAGAAGTTTCCTTGAAGTGACCACACTTGAAGGGTAAAAACCCAGTCCTAAGACCACACAACTGGCTGTCCAGCCAGAAGGGCAATATGAGAGATCAGAACTCTCAGACCAATCAGAGTAGTTTGAAGACACTGGCTCACACGAAGATAAGGGACACCTCACTGGCATTGCCTAACAACATTTCCTGACAGCCTTCATTAAAGGCTTTTAAGAAAACTTGGCACAGAAAGGTTCTTGCATAGTTAAAAAAAAAACCCCAAAAAACAACAACAAAAAAAAAAGTTTAGAGACAAGGATGAATGTATGGTTCTCATTGCAGAAGTTCACACGTGGAAGGTCTCTTTACCGTATTTCTAAACAACCTACAGAAGGGCATGAAATCAGATGACACAGCTTAATTATTTTCAATTCCTCAGAGCAGCTAAGGCCAACTATGAAGAATTAAGGAAGTCTCATCACCAGCCAATGAAGTGGCAGATGAAATCTAACATAGGAGTGAGTGTAGTAAAAAAAACAAACCCAAACCTGGCTTCATCTAATAACTAAAGGTCTTGATGGTCAGGAATGAGGACAGTTTGATGCAAACATTGAGACAACACTCAGAGGTCAACATAAGGAACCTGTGTCTCAAGAATTAGAAGAGAAAGAAGAGAGCACTTGACAGAGCATGTCACTTGTACTGCAATGTAACAGGTTTACCCACACTTAGCCTGCAGGATCCTGCTGAACTGCAAAGGTTCAGAGATTGGCAGTAGTGAGAGCCAAATGTATGGAATGGCTTTTATATGGAGAACAACTAAAGGAGCCAGGGCTCTTCCCACTGCAGAGGAGACTACTGAGGGGGAATATGCCAGAGATGTAAAATTACATGTGGTGTGGAGTAGAATATGGAATAGCTGATGGTTAAGTATCTTTTCCACTGCATGATCTAAGGGATATTTGATGCTGCCTTGGAGGTAGGAGTCACAAAAGCTGCCTGAGAGGGAATATAAAGGAGGTCAAGGCTATCTACTCTTAGGTTTTAGCACTGCGTTCTTTACCTTAACTTATAGTTAAGTGTTTCTTACAGTGTAAATCCCTTTTGTAATGATTTTAACGGAGTACAATAATTCACTGATGAAGTATCTCAATAAGCCTTTAAATTCCCCCTACTCCTCCCACCCAGCAATGGGGTTTATCAACAATAATACAACAAAAGTAACAATAACAATAAATAAAAATAAGTAGTTATACAAGGCAACTCACTGTGCTGAAGTGTTCTTCAGAAGGATAGGAGCCACAATAGAGGCAGATCCTTGGACAGACAAGCAAGAGGCGTTTAGGCCTCGTGTTTCCTCATAACCCCAGAACCAGCCCCTAAAGGGGAACACAAAGGATCAGCTCACAGGCTTGTATTTTAAGTCAATGCCATATATAGAACAAAACATCCCAAACAAACTACATATAATACAAACAAACCAGCCACCTCCTTTATGCTGCTTTTCTGTGGAGCAACAACTTTACAGAAGTAGATCTTCTCATACCAATAAAACATTTTATTATTGATGGGCTTTTTAAAAACAGAGTGAACCCCAGATATTCACAGCAAATATCTCTCTGAATACAACTGAAAAGACCAAAAGGACTGCTCCATGTTACCTGTAGTAGCCATGCTTGTCTCTGGAGTACATCAGCTGATCAATGCATGGCCTTTCATCTATTTTTTCTTCCCATGTTCCTTCTTTCCATCCTTCTGCGTAGCCTTGGAGCACATAAATCTGTTCAATAAACGGCCCACCTGACTCTGAGCAGAAGGCAAAGCAAAGGACTTGTAAGCATAAAAACCTACATTGCAAAGGTATGCACAGGCATCAGTGGCAGTTAAAAATCTGCTAGAAACGCTAGTATTACACTACTCTCTGTTCCCTGTTTTCCCTATAAAAAAGGGAAGAAAGTTCTGTGTGAGACAGAAAAGCTAAAAGGGTCACAGGCAATGTGATCACCTGCTATTCCACCCAGCTCTGTATGATTTAATGTGCCAAACACAAGGGAATCACTGAGAGCTGGGTAAAACACACCACAAAGCACACAGGTTTTCAGTGCTGTAAGCAGCTGCCACAGGAGGAGTGCCTCCAAGAAAAATGCCAAGTACAAGCCCATCTTCCCCTAAATTTTAGGGTCTCTACATGCATTTTCCTGGAAGGCAGGGAACAGCTTTCCCTTCAGACCTCTTTATAGAGGTGTGACATTTGGTGGCCTTTTTTTCCTTTGCTGAACAAGCCTGTGACACTGCTGCAGATTTGAACATTTGGCAAGTAGTTCAACATGGCATTAAATCCAAAAGGAACCTATTTCACTTTCTTATGGAAAGCCTTTCTCTTAGACAGAAAAAGCAAGGGGTATTTCAAGTATGTGCAGCATCGACGATAACAAAGTAAGTTCAAAGAAGAATCCACTTTACAACTTTTACTGTCCAGCCCCCACATCCAGAAAAAAGTGGCCTGTCTGTAATTCAACAACCCACCTCTCTCCCTGTGGTCTTGTCATTATGGTCAAAACCACAGAGAAATACCACGGGGGAATTTAATCACAGGCATTAATTGTCTTCAGAAGTCCCCAAAGTCGAGGGGACAGCAGTGCTACATCAATCAAGCTGCCAAGTAATTGGGTTATTCCATCCTAGTGGTTGGGTAGCTCAGCAAAACTCCTTCCCATCCCTCCTCCTCTTGCCACTAAGATTTTTTTTTTCCACATAAAAGGATAAAAACCCCTATAATGACAAACCTGTTAAGAAACCATATCAAATATTTGTTAATCATAGATTGCATGATCCTATACCACACCTGCAAGGAATTGCTCATATTCAATGACAGGAATGTTCCTGTTGAGGCTTGGGATATCAAAGAATTCAGACCAAGGGATCCGGACCTGGAGGATGTCAGGGCTCTGCCAGTGATAAAGACGGCCCCAGGGAGGCATAACCAACACCCAGTTTTCGCTTTTCCGCAGGGTCTTCAGAAGGGAAGCAATGCGAACATAGACATCTCTGCGAAGGTTGAACCCTTCAGGGGGGTTTACATCATACAAAAGATATCTGGGGAGAACAAAGGAATACTGTTATTTTTTTACCCTACAATCTTGCGATAAAACTGCTGGGAAGGAAGCTGGTTCTCTTTTTGAGTTTGTGGTACCTGGAAGGGGAAGAAGTATGGGAAGTAGGAGCAGCGTGTGCTGCAGGGCTGGAAGGGCCACTAGGGTCTCCTGGCGAGGTGCACATGCCAGGAGCCTTTTTTACAGCGGGTCAAAGAGCAAAGAGTCTTGCTCATCCTGAGGGTAACATGGGGAGTGTGGTGAAAATAGTGAAACCACTGGCATGTCAACCAGGCTAACTCTTGTAAGCTGGACACAAAGGCAGAAGGACAAGCTCTGGAAAAGAATGGAAAAGGGAAAAGAATGCAGCTGGGAGCTGGATGATCCTGTGGGGTCCCTTCCAACTCACGATATTCTACAGACGATATTCTACAGATGATAGCCCTCGGACAGCTGCGATGACACCCTCCAAAAAACGACACAAAAAAGCACGAGCAGGCGAAGGAGGCTCCTTACCAGCTGATGGCCAAGACACGGAGGGTCGCCTGTGCAAGGGGACACCGCACGGCGCTGGGAGACCCCAGCAGGGCAGGACCGCTCCGAGGCCGGGCGCGGCGGGTCCGCTGCTGCTCACCTGGTGCGCGGGGCGGCGGCGGCGGCGGGCAGCGAGGAGGCGGCGTGGCCGGCGAAGAGGGCAGGGGGCGGCGGCTCGGAGGCGGCGGCGGGCGGTGGCGGGAGAGCGAGAGCGGCAAGACCGAGCAGCAGCAGCGGCAGCGCCGGGGAGCAGCGACCGCCGATCCCCTGCGCCGCCATCCCCCACGCCACTTCCGGGGCGGCGCCGGCAGAGCCCCAACCCCTCTCGGTCTCTCAGTAGAGGCCGGCGGTAAGGGGCCGCAGCCGGGAGCCTGTGAGGCTGTGTAGCTCCTCCAAGATTTGCGCTTCCTTCCGGTACATCTACGGGAGCAGCGGCGGTCACCACCGGGCGAGGTCCGGGTCCCATCACCGGGGCCTCTGGTCCAACCCATGCCGGACCCCGCACACCCTCCCCGGCCCCAGGGCATCCCGCACCTGCTCCCACTCGGGTTTCGTGTTGTGTCGGTAGCCGAGCAAGTGGCACAATCCGTGGGCTGCCGTCACCTGCGCGGGGGACAAGAGCAAAACACACGTCTTACCGACTGAATCCCGTGCCTGCCCCGCCGCCCGCCACGCCTGAGCGGGGCTCACCGTCAGGACATCGTCAAAATCCTCCCCGGTTTTGCGGCACTGCAGGTAGATGTATTCCACCCCTATGAATATGTCCCCCAGGTCGTACTCCTCGCGGCAGCGCGGCTGCGGCAGCTCCCCCGCCGCCACTTGGTGGAACGGGAAAGAGAGGACGTCGGTGGGCTCCGGGCAGTGTCGGTAGGCGGCGTTCAGACGCTGCATCAACGCGTTGCCAGCGCAGACCAGCCCCACGTCAAAGCGGGAGGCGCCCAGAGCGGCGCGCAGGGCGCAGACGGCGCGGCGGAGTAGAGCTCGGCGCACGGGCACGGCGCGCTGCGCGTTCCGCAGAGCCAAGCTCATGGCAGCGGCGCCCCCACGCACCCGACCCCCCTCCACCCCTCCACAACGAGAGTCCGCCCCCGAGGCCCCACACACCACAGCCCCACCAATCGAGACCCCCTCCCCCGCCCTGCCCGAGGAGACCACGGCTCTACACTTCTGTCCATCCGTTAATGTGCCCACCCACCAACTGAAGCTCCGCCCATTGAGAACGCGCGTATAACCACGCCCACAACGCCGCTCCCACCCGTCTCACTGCCCCCTACTGTCCTGCTGCCGCCGTAGCCCCGCCCACTTTTGCACTGGACGCCGCCCCATGGCGAGGGCCTCCCCCCACCGCGCATGCGGGGCCCGCTTTGCCCGGTGGTCCGAGGCCGCCGCCGCCGCAGCGATGTCGGCGCGGGGCCCGTTCCGCGGCCCGCCCTCCTTCCCGCCGCCGCTGCGCTTCGGGCAGCCCGCCGTGTTCGGCCAGGGCGGCGGCTCCGCCGGGCTCCCCTTTGCCCCCGCCGCCACCTTCGCGCCGCCCTACGCGTTGGGTCAGGCGCCGGCTTCTGCGGGGAACGCGGGATTCAGCTTCAGGCCGCCCACCAGCCTGAGCGGCTTCCCGATCTCCAGCGAAGCATCGGGCGGCGGCGGCGGCGCTTTCGCGGCACCCGAGTTCCGCTTCAAGGCGCCTGAGAGCGCCGCCGCCTTCAAGCCGCCGTCAGGCGGTGAGGCGGAGAAGGGCCCGGTTGCCGCCGCCTCCGCCTTTGCTTTCTCGTCGCCCTTCGGCTTCGCGTCTGATACGGGCCCCGAGGCGGCGGGGGCGCGGGAGCCTTTCTCGTTCTCGCGTCCCGGCGCCGCTTTGGGGCGGCTGGAAGAGAGAGGCTTGAGGGTGCTGCCGGAGGATCCGGGGGAGCCGCCGTCCAAGGGGCTGAAGCGGAAAGAGGAGCTGGAGCGCTCGCCACGGCGGGCGGCGGCGGCGGGCGGGCGAGCGGCGGCACCGCCGGAGAAGCGGGCGGTGATGCTGAGCCGGTCCCGCGGTGGGATTCTGTTCGGTCGCACGCTGGAAGATCTGCTGCGCAGCCAGGCCCGCGAGCAGCGGGAGCGCGGGGACGGCCCCGAGGCCGAGCGAGGAGCCGCCGAGGAGCCGCCGCCGGCCGAGGCCCGGGAGCCCGCTCGAGAAGGTGGGCGGGGGTCTGGTGGGGAAACCGGGCCGCCTGGGACTCTCCCCGCTTGCTGACTGCTGTCGTGTTCTTTCTCGTCACAGATGCGGCCCCCTCCGCCCCTGCTCGTCGGAGCCGCGGCAGCGAGAGCACGGAGGGGCTGGGGGGCCTGCCAGCCTCCGAGCTGACGGCTGTCCAGTGCAAGAACATCCCTGACTACCTCAACGACAGGACTGTGCTTGAAAAACACTTTGGCCAGTTCGTAAAAGTTCGTCGTATCATGACCAGGCGTAATAAAAAAATGGCGGTTCTCCACTTCTTTGATCATGTAAGTATCAGAAGTGGCGTAACTCTTGGGAGAGTTCATCCTGGAGAAGTCTCCAGCGATACCTTAGAGCCCCTTCCAGTGTCTAAAGGGGGCTTACAATAAAGAGGGAAAACAACTTTTTACAGGGATGGACTGGGAGAGGACAAGGGGAAGCAGTGTAAACTAAAAGAGGGTTGAGATGTTATGAAGAAATTATTTGGAGGTGATGAGGCCCTGGCACAGGTTGCCCAGGAAAGCTATGGCTGCCCCATCCCTGGAAGTGTCCGAGGCCAGGCTGGCTGGGGCTTGGGGCAGCCTAGTCCATTGGAAGGTGTCCCTGCTCAAGGCAGGGGGGTGTAGCTGGTTGGTCTTACAGGTCCCTTCCAACCCATACCGGTCTCTGATTCTATGAAAAAAGACACAAATCTGGGTGCTCAGGGTGGGTCCAGCACTGATGAAACCTGGTCTCTTGTTTGTAGAAAAGCATCATTTTTTTGTGGAGACCAGTTCTGCTGATTGTGTGTAGGTCTTAAGTGAGGTTAAAATACACCAAACAGAATTTTTTGGCAATAGGTAAATGTTTCTGTGGCAAAAACTGCACTGTGTGTTTCAGTGTTGTGATACCAATAGGTTTCCATGCTGTGCTTTTGTTTTATTTCAGGCCTCTGCAGTTCTTGCCAGGAAAAAAGCGAAAGAGTTGCACAAAGATATAGTTACGTTTTGGCAAAAGAAGAAAACAAGTAAGTCTGTGTTTCTAGACTACTGGATGATGTATAAATAGCGTGCCAGCTGCTCTTTTTTTCCCTGATATTCTGAGGATATCTTAATTATCTCCCAGTATAAGATACCATGGTTGAATCCTTAATGCAGTCACACAACAGCAGTATGGTGATGTTTAGCTTTGTGCTTCTGTCCGGAAGTAGGATGTTCTTTGGGGATGTAAGGAAACCCAGTCTGAAATGCCTGGCTGCCTGCCTCAGGCAATAGATTGGCATGTGGACTTCTAGCTTTCAGGAAAAGGTTCTGAGAACCAACCTAAGGAAAGTGTCTTGAGAATCTCTGCAGTGTCTGCTGAGGTTGCTGCTCTGTGCATTGGTAGTTAGACACTGTTTGAATCAAAAAAGAGAACAACCTTCAGAGTTTAGAAGTGGGAAACCTGGATTCCAGACCCTACTTGGGATTAGGGCAGGAGGACATTGTTCAGTCTCCAGGGAAATAATTACAATGTCAAGTGCTTCCCTTTTTTTAACTCCATGAGTTCAGTGTGTGTGCCTGTGAGATCCTAGCCTGGGAGTGCACTTCAGCTGCCAGCAGATAGATGGTTCAGCTCAGCTTTGACCAGCCACAGCCTTGCCTTTCAGAAAACAAACAGCTGCCAAGTTGTCTCCCTGAGAATTAAGATCTTGAAGCAGCAGCTCTAGGGCTACTTCTTTGCCATAACACCATTTTATTGTGGTGTTATGTCTGTGGCAGCATGTGTGGCAGCATTCTGAAATAAGTATTCTGGGAGGGTTTAAGAAATCCAGCTTGTAGAAAAATTGTCTCTGGAAGAAGAAATTCTCCCTTCCTGCAAGGGTTAACTCATGTTGACCTGAGCCTAAACTTGGGTATATGAAATAAATACTTTCAGTAGGAGCACTTGGAATTGTGATTTACGCAGGTGAAATGGGTTCGATATTCCATAGGGAGTTATGACTTGTTGATTATATCGCAAACATCCTGAGAGAGCTGTGATTCAGTTGAGGATCACACTTCATTTACTGATAATTACAGTTACTGCTAAGTGATACTGTCTTGGAAAATACTTACTCTTTATAGAGCAATGACTTTGATAGCAATTGGTGGAAACTTGATGTAGCTCCTAGTGCAAGTTGTTTTGGAAGTTTTGCATACATGTACAAAACTGGGAGTCTTAATTTTCATCACCACCTCCATGGGGTCAAGAAAGAGTTGTTGCTTAAACTGCTTGGCAGGTACCTTCTTTCATATTTATGTGTCATTTCAGGTCCAGCAAAAAGAGAATTTTCATCCAAGGAGAAGAAAGCAGGTGAAGATGAAGGAAGGCAAAGCAGTGAAGAGCAAAGCTATCAGCATTCCCCTCTTAGAAAACCTTTAGTAAGATCTTCTGCTAGCAGTGTCATGCCTGGGAGAAGGTATGTCTTCTCCTCTGGGAATCCACCTGGCAGGAAAAGGGGAGTTTGGAGAAAAATGGTGATCACTGTGTGTGAAATAGTTGCTTTCTCTTCAGGGAGGCTGCTTCCCTTCTTTTCTGGTGTAGAATGCTTCTGAATTAGAAGCACTCAGCTCTCATGCTTTGTCAGAATGATACTCTTAACGGCTTATTAGGGTCTTTTACTTTGGTCTCTGGATTTTGTTCATAAAAGTACCTGCGGTATGAGGCATGAGGGAAGTGAACATAAAGTGCAGAGCCCAACTGGGACCGAGCAGTGATGACACTGTGGTCATGATTCAATGAGCTTCTCACACAGGAGGCAATTAGAGTTCTGTGGAATGAGTCTCCTTTTTGAAATAGTTTGGATCACTTTCTCACTTCAAGTGAACAGTCTTCCTGGTTTGTTGCAGTCACAGAAGTGGCAGGGTTGTAATCTTTGTCACACCTCAATGCTGTATGGTGTCTGACAAAAGTAATTTAATATGTGTAGTCATATAACAATAAAATCAGTAATATGTTCTGAAGGAATCACTATCCCTTGTTTTAAAAAGCATGTTTGTACTTGGCCCTGTAAAATCTTTAAATAATCTCTGTTGCTATAGAAAGCACATCGGGTTTGTCTCCACACCAGCAAGCCAGTTCCTAGCTTAAAATACAAGCTCCTGTGCCATAGTGATGCAAAATGCTACAAGAGCCATCCATTTCTGTCCCCTCTATGATACTTTCAGTAATACCTTTTCTGTTAGGACTTTCTTCACAGTGCCAGAACTCTTGGCAGCATTGTCAGGGCAGTGCTGAGGATTTAACCAGGTTTAACCAGATTAACTCCTGGTGTTGGTGTTAGCTTGCCACATCCATACAGTTTCACACTTCCCTGTGAACAAAATACTCAGCTGAACAGATATTGTCATCCTAAAGAGCAGTGAACTGATTAGTACCAGGGCATGCACTAATGTATAATTATTGATAAAAAATATTCTTTATTTAGTTCTCCAGCAAAGAAGCCTGGCCTTCGAAAGGTGCTGCAGTTTGAAGCAGAGCTGTTTGATTCCAGTACTGAAGGGCAGAGCTCAGAGGGCTTGGGAGCTTCGCCATCATCTCTCAGTAACCTGGTGGGATTGGTGGCTGAGACATCTGAAGAGAGATATAGGCTCTTGGACCAGAGGGACAAAATCATGCGACAAGGTAATTACCATAAGTTAATGAGTATGACATCTGCTTCTCTGCTGGGAAGAAGAAAATGTTTGGGTTTTATGGCAAAGCTATTGGGATATTATGGAAATGGCTTAAAAGAGAGTTTAATGTGGAAAAGCTTATAAAATACTCTCTTAGTGTATTATTTTCTGTATTTTTTTTTCCTTGGGAAACACACAGATCTGTTTTACTTACTTCACAT